GCTCAGGTGGGGAAGGAGACACGGCCCGGATGCGGAGTTTGTAGGGGCGCCCTCCTGCACCCTCTGGAAGTTTCCATAGCGCTCAAGCTGCCTAGCCGTTGGGGCTGTACCACGGCTGCCGCTGCCTGTCAAACTCTCCCTGCGCTGTTTCCTAGGCAACCATACCGATGTTCGGTTTGACTCTCGCTCAGGGTTGGCCAGAAGCCTCCTTCCGTCACCTGAGCCGCTGGATTCTGCAAGATGGAGAATGCGCGAGGGCCAAAGTCCAGCTACCCGCAGCCCTGAGTAGGGACAGTCCCTGCGGGGAGGTGGCAGCAGGAGGGACGTCGGCGCCTGGAGGAGCAGAGCGCAGAGCCGCAGAGGGTCCGCCAGCAGCCGGACCTCCCCTCCCGGGCCAAGCTGGAACTGGAAGTGAGGTTCGGGAGCGCCGGGGCCGAGGCTGCTGGACAGCGGCTCCAGCGGGCAGAGACCCAGGCGGAGACCGAGCCCGAGGCGGCGGCCCTCAGGCGGAGCGCCGGAGCCCAGAGCGTGCTGCGCTGGTACACCACCATGGTCCTGTACGCCGCCTTCCTGGGGCTGGTGAGAGCTGAGGACGCCGTCCTTCCCGGCTGCGGGGAACCCGCCCGCCCTTCCCAGCTGGGCCTTCGCTGCCTGCTCGTTGTGTGACCTTGGGCACTTCAGTTAATCCGCCAGGGCTTCAGTTTCATCAACTAACACTTGGGCACAGTTCTAATCATGGGGGGCGGGGGTACTGTAAAGGGCCAGATTGATTTCCCTAATATATTTTCCACCGACAGCAGCATCTTCATAGGAATCTCTGTCCTGGGGAGACAGAAGAGAGTTTACCTGGGTCTGTAGCTACTGCCCTCTGCACATTACATAGAAAACCTACTTTTCTAGGATTTCCTCTTCCTGGTGACGTTAAGCCAACCGCTTACTTTTGCAGACAGGGAAACAATGGCAAGAGGAAAATCACTTTTCTGGATTACACAGCTGATCAAGTGGTAGAGCCCAGAACACCTCTTTCTCTGCCCACAATCCCATTCAGATCAGCTCCTCCATTACTTAAATGATTTTCTTGAAGCAAAGTTCAAGGCTAGAAGTGCCTTTTGCCAAACCCTTGTGCTACCACTCAATTCAGTGTTTGTGGCAAACCCACTCCTCCTCCCACGGCTTGATGATTGTGATCCTGGAGAATTGCGGATTGGGAGACTAAGCCACAGTCCTTTTAGAATGTACTGACTGGGAGGGAAGAAAGAAATCACTGCAGATGCTTGGTGAGCATATGAAGTGCTTTGGTTAGAGCTGGGGCTCTGGCTCTCCTTGTGCTAGGTGCTTGCTGTGCATCTGTACTAACCCTGGTCCTTAGTCCTGGGTGGGTCTGGCCTGGGTAAGGGGCACATGCTGCTTTTGGAACAGACTGGTGCAATTAGAATAAATGGTTCTTGAACTATAGATGAATTAGAATTTTTTTAAGGGTCCAAAGAATTTGAAAGCCAGCCGCTAACACTTAAGTCTTATAACACCTATTAAAAAGAAGAGGTTGTTTGAGGCTAGCCTAGTCTGCATAGCAAGTTCTAAGCGAGCCAGTGCAACACAGTGAGACCCTGCCTCAAAAAAAGAAAGAAAAGAAAAAGAAGGGGAGGAGGTTAGTCGAGTTAATTTTAGAACATTTTTTTGCACAAAGTAATGATTTTAATGGTTCAGAACATCTTTGGTCAGTATCTGTAGCCAGAACAAGAAAATCACATGTAGAAATAACATTTTTTAAATTATAGCTCATTTACTGCCTTTGCCCATTTCTGGTAGTTTGTGATCTGATAAACTGACTACCCAGCTGCTCAATCACTTTTTCGAGAATGTTCTCTCAGGATGCAGTTTGTTGACATATTTAGGGATGTTACAATGTCCTACCCACAGAAGTAGCTTTAGACGCTTTCTAGTACCACATTAATAGCAGGCTCAGCTTTTTATTTATTTATGAAATTTATTGAATTCACTTTGGATTTTTTGGATTCACGTTTTTAAATTTTTATTTATACATATGAGTGTTTTGCCTGATGTTGTTAAGAGCACCTATGTTGTGCAATGTCTTTCTGAGCCACTGGAAGGTGTTTGATCCCCTGGAACTGGAGTTAGGGACAGCTGTTAGCTACTGTCTAGGTTTTGGAAATCAAACTTGGTTCCTCTGCAAGAGCAGTCAGTGCACTTAACCGCTGAGCCATCTGTCCAGACCCTGGATTCACATTTGTGGACTTCACAATGTCGATGACAAATTAGTTGCATAATTATTTAAACTTCCTTCATGTTTTTGTTAACTGAAGTACAAAGTTTCTATGGGTACATACAAACATTCATGACTCTCAAGGGGATACAACACATCAAGGCATCAGCTATGGTGGCCATCAGAGAGTACGCTCCTTAACCAATGTCTCTATGAATCAAATGGATCAAGATCAAGCAATCTAGTTCATGCAATGAATGCTCAGTAAAATTAAATTGGTCATGATTGCTATGATGGTGATTAAGGTCCATAGTTGGCTGTAAAACTGCCTGATTTAAAGGAGTATCCAAGCTGGGCATGGGGGTGCACACCTGTAATCCCAGTACTTGGGAGGTGGAGGCAAGAGTATTGGGGGTTCAAGATCATCCTTGGCTGCATATTGAGTTCAAGACTAGCCTTAGCTATTCATGAAACCCTACCTCAAAAATAGTGCCATTGTTTTCTGAAGAAAATGACTAATTTATTAAATTCCACAGACAGCAAAGTCCTATCAATATAGCATTTAGTCTGGAGTTCCACACCCACTAAAATTAAGAATAACCAATGTTAAACTGGCCTAAAACCTGGTTTAGATACTTAGAGTAAGTGTCATAGTTCACACAAAGACACAAAATTAAAGTAGGTATAACACTTAAAAACTTTTCATGGCAAATTAAAAATTAACGTTTAAATTTTGAAAAATTTCAAACCTTATTATGATATTTTTTATCTAATTAAACTTCCAAAATGCTAACTGAATTAATTGAAAATAACCTCACTGTTGGATTTTTTTTCAAGTTTGCCCAGCATTTCAAAATAGTGACCGAATTAAAACCTTTAAAATGTCAAAGTATGGTATACATATTGCACTCTCCTGCTTGGGCTATGCTAGTTATTTTCTTCCATGACAAGATTCCAAAATGATGGAACAAAATACATTTTAAAATCAATGGGTAGGGGCTGAAGAGATGGTTCCATGGTTCAGAGTGTGTACTGCTCTGCAAAGGAGCCGAACTTGGTTCCCAGAACCCACTTCAGGTGACTCACAATCACTTATAACTCCAGCTCCACAGGCACCCAACACTTCTGCCCCCCTGAGGACATCTGCACTCACATGCACATATCCTCCCACATGTACATAATTAAGAAATAAATCTTTTTAAAAAATCAATGGGTACTTGATTAATTCCTTGAAATTGTCAATGTCATTACAAAACTCTTCCGGGATTTTGTAAGATTTGATCCCTTAAATAGTTTCAAGTTTATCTTATAGAGGGAGGAAAACTTTTCATATATTGACTTCTTTTAATCCTTTTTTGATCCCTCAATGACCAAAGAAAATTCTGAAAAAATTGTTTCATGTTCCTGCCTTGATAAAAAGTTCTTTAAAATTATTTTCCTTCCTTCCTTCCCTCCTTTTCCTCCTCCTCTTCCTTCTCCTCTTCCTACTCCTTTATATCATTTTTTGCTTTTTGAAACAAGATCTCACTGTTGCCCCAGCTGGCCTAGAACTCACTATGTAGACCAGGCTGACCTCAATCTCATAGAGATCCATCTGCCTCTGCTTCATGAGTACTAGGACTAAAGGCATGGACCACCATACTCAGCTCCTCCTCCTCCTCCTCCTCCTCCTCCTCCTCCTTCCTCTTCTCCTTCTTCAACCCAGACTGTTCTTGAACTCACTATGTATCTGATAATGACCTTGAACTCTTCATCCCCCTGCCTCTACTTCCCAGGTGCTGGGATAGTAGACATGAAACCCTGGGTTTCATGCATGACAGACAAGCGTTCTACCAATTGAGCTACAGCCCAAGCCCAAAAGCTAAAAATTTCTAATAAACTAACCAAAACTATTAACTTTGAAATATCTATATATCTGTACATCTCCTTCAAACCATTATAAACTTTTATAATCAAGATTTTGGTCAATTATACTAGAGTCAAATTAGGTAAAGAAAAGTTTATGTTGCAAACATAAAGCCACTTTCCAATAAGCATGACAAAAACAAACTATCCATTTGTCTTCTACTGAAGACATTATTAAAATCTGTCCAATGGCTTATTTCCAAATGGTCCATACACAATCCTTGGGAATGTTTTAAGATTGACCGTAGAGTTCTAACTTCCATTTAGACCCAGATGTCTTGATTTTTGTTTCAGCATCTGATTCTTTCAACTGTTCCTATAGATTTAAAATAACCCTGATTATTTCCAAAACCATCACATCCACAGAAAGTCTAGCCATCTACTGTCTGACATCTTGCTGAACCAAACTTCAGCAATAAAACCAAGGAGAAAATTAGGAGTTGAGTAGAACATTCAGTTTTCTTCCCCCAAGCCCCTGACATAGAAGGAGGAAATCTAGAATGCTAATTTGTTCTATTACTTTTATGTGGAATTGGAACATCAATGTTTTCACCCATCTTTAAGAGTGACTTCCAACCCCTCTCAACCCCTGAAGTCTCTGATTAGCTGTAAGATTCAGATTTTTCCTTAATTAGTTTGAAATGCCACATAACCAGCACCCCACTAGCACCAAAAAAGACCACCTAAGACCCCTGTTAGTAACTTTCTTTACTTGAATGAAATCTCTAACCACTTCAAAGTATTAATTTTGAATATTAACTGCTTTTAGCCTTTGATTATAGGAAGGTATGGGAAATTTCAAGGAAAGCTATTCAGAAGACAGAAATTAGCCAGGCCAAACTGCAAGATCCAAACCAGGCAAGGGGCTGAAGGAAGCAGAAAAATTCTCCACAGATGCACTACAAGCCTTTGGCAGTAGACGAGTCTAAGCAGAGGTCAGTTAAATCTGTTCACTCATAAGTAGTTTATAGATCCGAACAAGGTTCAGTAAGAAATGTTTTGTGATCTTTTTTTAGCATTCTGCAAGGGTACAAACATTTAGTTGATATGGACCTTACTGTATTTAATGTGGCAATCATACAAGTTTTACTAGTACACACAGAGGTAATTCTCAACTGTGGGAATGTACAAACAATACACCATCTGCAGATGCAGCTCCAGTTTTCTATTTTTGCTAGAACTAGGTTATTCACTGCAAAGGTCATGCTACTATTCCTAGGAAGTACAGGAGGCATGGAGCTACGAGAGCTAGCATATGAGGGAAGTTTTCACTCTGCCTTTGTAGTTTGAAGATGACTCACTGGAAACAGAATAGCATTGGCAATAGTGATATTGCCTGGCTTGAGTGCACTAGTCCACAAACCCAGCAGTTTATCTGGTTTCTTGCTACAAGAGTAGCTTTTGCTATGGCCTCCACACATTATAGTCCTAGACATTTCCCTTAAAGGAAAGGGAAGGGATTAGGACAGCAGGTAACAGGGGAAAGGGAAGAGAAGACTTCATCCATGATATTGGGAAAGCTGTCCACAATTATAATGCCATCTGCTTCTGGGGAGAAAGATTCCTAGCTAGATTTTCCTTAAGGTCTCTAATAAATGCACAATTTGAGCAGACAGAAGTCCCTTTAAGTTAAGAGATACAGAGCTCAGACTGAAGACCCAGAAGTTTTACTGCAGAGAAAAACCTGAATTGGTCTCATCCAACGAAATCAAGGATAGTCATTTAATGGTGGTATTTCTAAAACACCCATTCTTCAGGTTCTGGATCATGGAAATTCTGGCTAGCATCAGCTGGTGGCCATGAAGAGCTGTTTTAAGTTACAGAAAATATGCTTTGGTGTAATGCCTAAAACCTTGACTACTGGGGCTTGAGAGACGGCTCAGCAGTTAAGAGCACTGGCTGCTCTTGAAGAGGACCTGAGTTCAGTTCCTAGCACCCACATGTTGACTAACAACTGTCCATTAACTCCAGTTCCAGGGAACTGATGCCCTCTTCTGGCATCCCATAGATGCACTTACATACATTCGGGCAAAATACTCATACACATAAAAATTTTTTTTTAATTTTTTAAAAATTGACTATTGAATCATGTCAGAGTTTATGAGATTGCAAGTTACATAAATTCCTATTACTAAGGGAGCAGACTTTTTATATAAAAAAGATTTATTTGTTATTTATTTGTATGTGTATGTGCCTGCATATATTTATGTACATCATACATATGTGTGAAGATGTCCTTGAAGGCCAGAAGAGAGCATCAGAGCCCCTGGAACTGGAGTTACTGTTGGGCATGGGCCACAACATACTGGTACTGGGAACTGATCAGGGTCCCCTGCAAGAGCAGCAAGCACTGTTAACCACTGAGATACCTCTCCATCCCCTAGAGGCGCAGCTTTGACGTGACCATTTTACAAAGGTTTGGTCTGTGCTCTCCAAAGGGAGTTGCCTTCAGTTAGTAGTGCCTGTTATTAAAGCAATCCAGCTGATTCATTATGCAGTAAAACAAGTACTACCGTTGTTGGTGGGGCTCCATGAAAGTCCTATATCGAAAGCACTTTTATTTTTTAGGAAAGTTATTTTTAATATTTTATTTATTATTTTTATTTTATGTGTACGAGTGTATTGCCTGCATGTATGTGAGTGCACCTGTGTTGTGCAATGTCGCAGAGGTCAGAAGAGGGCTTTGGATTCCCCTGGAAGTGGAGTTAAGGATGGTTCATAGCCGCCATCCTCTGCAAGAGCAGTCTGTGCTCTTAACCGCTGAGCCATCTCTCCAGCCCCAAAAGTACTTTTTTTGGAGACAGGGTTTCTATGTAGCTCACTGGCCTCAAACTCACTATATAATCAAGGATAACTTCAACTTTTGATCCATCCCCATGTCTCCAACTCCCAAGTGCTAAGGTTATAGGCATGCACCACTATGTCCAATTTATGCAAAATGTATTTTCTAATAATCATGGCTAAATAGCATCAGCCTTTCTATGTGGGAAAGCTTCTTTACAACCAGAAAATAAGCAATGCAGGTATCAAGTGAATGAAATCCATCTGTAAGGGTTTCAGTCACCCAGCTTCTGGAAACATCACCTAAGGCTTTTACTAACTTAGCCAAAATTAAGGGTTTAACAAATCAAACGTTGATTAGAAGCCCCCCCTTTTTTGCACAAAAAAATATTTATCCACAAATGTTTGGTTATATTTTGGATCATTCCATCTCTACTGTGATGAATTTGAAGTGCGGAGCTTTAATACTGGAAACTTAAAGACTCAGCAAGTACTAGGCAGCCATCCAAACTCTCCCTGAGTCCATGCTTAGCAATGGATTTACATCTGCTTAAACACCAATTATGCCTCTCCACCTCAGGTGCCTAAAGCTGTTTATTAAATAGATTACAGTAGGTAATTAGACTTGGATCAGTATTGTGGAATTCCTTCAAATTCCATAGCTTAACAATTTCACTACCAGCTACTTAGCATGAAAATCTGCCAAGTAATTTCCATAGTACTTAATTACTTCTTGTTGTGCTTGATGCTGGGTTAAACATCAGCTTGGTGTTTACAAGCTGTTTAGTTTTTTTTCTTAATTAGAGGTTCAGAATACCTGTTCAGTCCAATGGAATGGTCTTAAAGTTACAAAGTCTTGAACTTGATAGAGTCCTTCCCACGAATGTTCTTGAACTCCAAACTCATAGTGGCTTAGGAAAGGACGAGACTAAACAATTAACTGTCTGTGAATGACAAGTCTTAAAATGGCCATGGTTAAAGATCTAGGGAGAGTTCATTACAACAGTGATGCACTCGTGTCTGTTGCATACAACTTTTATGATATGGGTCTTGCTATATTGCCTGTTCTGACCAGAAGTCCTGGTCTGGATTGATCTGCCTGCCTCAGCTTCCTAATTAGCTAGGACACAAATAGGACCACTGTGCCTGAATCTTGCTTATAACACTCAAAGATAACAATTACAGTTATGACTGACAAGGTTCTACCAGGGCTGTTATATTCCCATGAATTTTATACAATTTTCTGAGAAACATATTAATAACCCCCTACAAATATCACCCTCCAAAATTTTAACATTACTTACTATTTGGCAATGTTTTCAATGTACTTTAATATATCAAATAAGCGTAATTAATGTAATATCTCTATTTTTATAAAAACAATTATCCTTCTGAGAAATTGCAAGGATCCGTCTGGAAAACCACCATATTATTTAATAGTCAAGAAAAAAAATTTAGGGCTGGAGAGATAGCTCAGTGGTTAAGAACACTGTTCTTGCAGAAGACCCAGGTTTGAATCCCAGCACCCACATGACAGCTAACAACTATCCATAACTCCAGTTCTAGGGGGATCCAACAATCTCTTCTGTCCTCTGCGGGCATTTCACAACACAGGTGCACTTACCTATATGCAGGCAATACACACATACACATAAAATAATGAAAAATAAAATATTTTAAAAATTGATTTGATTTGATTTGATCTGGGGAATAACTTCATAAAAAATATCAAAGGTTTAGAAGCCAGGTATAGTGACACATGCCTTTAATCCCAGCACTCAGGAGGCAGAAGCAAGTGGATCTCTGTGAGATTGAAGCCTGCAGGGTCTACATGGCAAGTTCCAGGCCAGCTGGGATTTAGGAAGACCCTGTCTCAACAAAACAAAACAAAAATCGAAAGTTTAAAACACTTATTCAAAACAGCATCACAGGTCAAAGTAAGCACTAATCCTTCTTTAACCAAAGTGATATTAACACTTCAAAAGCAAATGCAGAAACTCATATTGTTGGATAAACTTAGCTCCTTTAATAGAGACTTAATCTCTTGAAGTAAACAAAAACTTAATGATTAAAGCATGAAGGACAGGAAATTACTTAATAAAACTGAGAATCTTTGTTTTCTAGGCCAACTACTACAAATAAATTTCTTTCAAGATATCTTATTAAGAGCCAGACTGTAGTGTGTAATACTGACGTACTAATGCTTAAAAAAAAAAAAAAGCCAGTCAATTTGCTAAGAATACCTTGCTGTTTTAGCAAAGAGAATCAAATTCTAGTTTGGCAGTGTATTTTAGATCAGCTTTTGAAAAAACTTGTAAGCACTTCTCTTTTAATCTGAGCAAGCATGATCGAAGATTGTCTACAGGCCTACAGTGCTCTCGTTTATTTACTGCTGTCTCTGTTTTCATCTCTGTGTACTTCTACTCCATGTTATTCTACTTTAGAATAGAAATTACTCCATTTTTCTCTTAATACAATAAAACCTCAACACGCTTTATGAGTTTTCTTTACTCAAAGCACATCTTATCTTTCTTGTATAGTTGCACATAGGATTTCCAACTTCTTATTTTTAGTAGTTTTAGTTTTGTGTGTTAATTAAAAGGCTTTTGGTGTGTGTTTTTTTTTGGGGGGGATGGTCTCTTTGATTTTTCTCCCTTAGCAACTAGTCTTCAGGGGAGGTGGTTTCCAGGTCGGTTCCAGCTCCATTGACCCAAATCGTGTGTCCAAAGTATGTCCTGTCTTCAGCAATAGGGTCTTACTTTCAAGTTCTGGGAGGCAATCAAGGACTGTGACAATAGTCTGTATAATTGTGGGAGTCCTTTGGACTTTCCTGGCCAACAACTCAAAGAGAGGTTTCTCCTGTCTGGCACTCTTTCTTGTATGTAGCCTTCAGCTATATTCATGGACTCATGTAGAGATATTGTATATATTATTTTTTAGCAAGTTTTCGGACTAACATGATTCCCTCTGGGTTTTTATATTAGCTGGGCATTATTTATCTCTCCTCTCTCCTTCTGTTTACTCTCCCTCCATGCCCTCCCCATTTAAAGTATCCCCATTTTTCCCATTTCTCCCATGATAATACCGTCTCCTATGGTCCCTCCTCTCTTGAGCTCCTCCTTCCCCTTTAGTCTCATAGTTCCTTGTATAACCC